TTAAGAAATATACTAATAAATTCTTCAGAATATGATCTAAATTAAATAACAGATAGCTCAGGTTGTATATTACAATCTATTCATCTAAAAGTTTACTAAATTTAAAATTTATTAATGTATTATTAATAATCGCATGGCAGAATCAATTTTACAATAAGTTTATCTTTTTATAATAATTTAATTTTATTTTAAGATGTGATAATATTAGAAAATTTTTAATTAGTTTAGAACTAAGCTAAAATATACCAAATAAATAAACTATACATATTAAATATGGAAATTTTTAGTTAATCTAAATTTATGAAGTAATAAATAATGCAATCTATTAAAATTCAAAATTAAATTATAAGATTTAAGGATGTTTTTAAATTAAAAAAATAATAATAATAATCTACTTACACTTTTGATATATTATCATAAGTAAATTCTATAATTTAACTTTCATCGAATTTAAATAATGCAGCTTTTTATGTTTAAAATGTAGTCCTTCTTTAGATTAATTGTTCCTATTGTTCAAATGATAACTATATATAATTAACAATTAGAGATCTTATTTTTTATTCTAATTAGATGAAATAATATGGATACATAAATATGTTAAAAAATAATTAGAGCAAAACTAGAAGGATTATTTAAAATTCTTTTTTTTAAATAATAATGGCAGTTCTGGTGTTGCTATATATTTATCCAACATTCTAATTAAGATTATTTAGTGTAATATATTTAATAAATTAGCCCATAATTAACATATTTTTGATTATAAATAATTCATCAATTATCCATAACTGAGCATATGAAGGAGGTGGAGTATATCTATTCATGAATGGAAATATTAATCAAATAAATTAATAATTATGAAGCTTCCACTTAACTTTTATGTGTGTAACATTTTGAAAGTATAGCAAATATTCTTGAACTTTTGTGTAAATTTTCTAATTCTTAAGACAATAATTATATCTTAATATGATTTCATATATTATCAATATATTCTTATTTGATG